GCTATAAATTACTGTGAAAGATCAGTTTTCAGTGAGCTACATAAATTGTCAATATCAGAGATGCAAGAACATTAAGTGTGCAATATTCCTATTAATTTTTGGGTTCTATTGTGGCCACTAGAAGAGTTGGCACATCCCTTAAGGTTTGGAGGATATGTTCAGAGCTCCCTCTTCTCTCTGACTGAGCACCAGGGTATTTAAGCTGCAAAATTCACAGCAAGGTACAAAGTTCTTAAGGCCCACAATCTTTACTTCCAGTCTAGGTTTTCAAAATTAGAACTCTCTCCCCGGCTTTTTCTTCATACTGATGCCATTTTTATTTTTACCTGTTGATTTTGCTTATGGTGAGGTCATCTGTACCAAATTAAATAGTCCTGTGCAGTCACTCCAGTGTACACAATAATGTGATATTCAATTTACAGAGCACCAAGTCCATAGAGAGGGAAGAGCCCTCCCTTTAATTAGCAAGAGCCTCTTGGGAGCTGCAGCTTCTCTCTTGCCAATGGCAAATATTAAATCCCAGGAATAATATTTAAAATGCTAAAAATGGCAAATATTAAATCCCAGGATATTTCTGAGCTCTGACATTCGCTCTGCAGGACACAATGCTGTTGGAAGCAGGTCTCACCTGCAGGGCAGGAGAACACATCAGCAATGTTCTCTCTATGTATATTGCCAAGATTTAGGAATTGATTAGCCCAGCTCTACTTCCTACTTCGTGGTGGCCAGGCTTGTTTAACTCTTTTTAACTTTAATTTTTTTTAATCCTGATAAAGATGATTTCAATCTTCAGCAGAAAGTACTTGTGGGAAAATGCATTTCCTTGGAAAATTTCTTCTCGTTTGGCAAGAATTAAAGCTTGGCACCTTATTAGCCTTTCTAAATAATGTCCCCAGCCTTCTTTCAGAGAGCTTTGCTGATGCACAATTGAGGCCATGGTAGACAAGACACAGCCTCATCTCAGATTTTCTCTGATGCATAAAATGTGATGTCCAGCTGGCTGCTGCGTAAATAAACATTTTCCTGTAGGACAGCCACACCTCAGGTGTACAGGAACAGCTGATAATTGGTGTCAGTAAATCATTATAGTGCAAGCCACAAACATAATCACTCAGTTTGTAATTTACTCCTGATGGGGGTACTTGTTCTTCTCAATACTTAATATGTCTGTTTATAGAAAAGTTGATTGAGATAATTAGCAGTAAAAATGCTAAGGTAACACGGCTATGGTAACATTTAAATTGCCATCAATTTTGTTTATAGCAGCCTAAAGAGCGGTGCTGAAATTAGAAATTAGCTACAATTAGCAAATAAATTGAGTGTCTCTTGGAATTACTTGATCATGTCTTAAAATGTTGCACAGTGAGATGCTCACAGAGGCAAAGCTGAGTCCCTGGGCTGCTCAGCTGCACCAGTCAAGGAGAACACATCTTGCTTTGCTGCTGCTCCTGGCCTTCCATGGAGCCTGGGATGCTGCCCCACTGTCGAGGTTTGATGAGTGCATGCTGTGAAGCCAAAAAACCCCAAAATTGCTCTCAGGGATTTGCCTCTGCATGGGGGAAAAGAAGGCAGAGTGGGGTTTTCAGTGATGTGCAGCCTTGTGGGCAGCAGCTCAAAGACTGTAACCCTTCCACCAGCTCAGTAAATGAACCTTGAGGCACACATTTACTGTTGGCAGCTCCATATGAGAGGAGTAACTTGGGCTGGAAATGTGTTGTTATCCCAGAAGATGAGGCACAGACACAGAAGGCAGTTTTCCCTGATTGCCTGGAATGTGTCTCTTTGGAGGGCCTTGGGCATCGTTTTATGTTCACAGTTAGAAATAGTTTGCTTCCCCCAGTAAGGTTCTTTAAGGACCCTGCTTGATAAATGTTTTACAGAGGCATGTAATTATTTCCTGGCATAATTTCATAGTTTGATGTGGAAGGAAATGTGTTGTCTGCTACTGTTAAAATGGGTCATTAAGTGCAGTTTTGAGAATGAAAAGAGGATGGGAATCAACCAGCTCAGGATCAGCTGCTGGCTCACCTCTCTCATACAGCAAAAGTTTTCTCATTCTTTCACCTTTTGTTAGAAGCAGACAGGGAATGGTTTTCTGCCTTTCAACTCTGTGTCCAGAGAGGAGAAGGTGAGCTGAACATCCCATCCTCCTCCTTCAAGCACAAGTCTTGAGTATTCATCCAAATCTCACATGATGGCTCTCAGATGCTGGGATCTTGCCCAGTTTTGGATGCACATGTTTGATTCTACTACAGGAACTCTCCTATTTAGTGTCAGTTTAAGTAATTATTGGGCTGGAAGGGGACAAAATCTTCACCCTGTGCTTAGCCATGTGCTGGAAGGGTGAGGATACTGAGTCATGTCTGTGCTCCCCTGAGCAGCACCTGACCCTCATGCAGTGAAACAGGAGACCTTGTCTGGCCTGGAAGGAAATTCCCACAGCTGAGGAGCTGTGACATTTGTCTGGGATGTGGAGAAATGGTGGCACAATGATGTTCACCTGGTGATACACAGATATCTCACTCCTTGCCCCTGTGCTCTACATCCAGTTCTCTTTCTTTGGGATTGGAATACCATTCTTATCCAGGGAAACATCTCCTGGTGGTATTAAAAGTTACATGTTCTGGGGTAAATTTCAGCATCTTCTAAGGAAGAAAATTTTCCTTGAGTATTTTCTGGCTATTTCCTTCCTTCTTTCCTCCTCTTCAGCAGATGTTGGATCTTTAAAGAGCAAAATCAGGCTGAGGGGAAAGGGAAGAAGTGACTGTCAGGGGAAAGCAGTGCAGGGGATTATGGATGGGGCAGTCACACCACAGGCAGACCCCTACTGAGGGCTGAGCACCAGGATCAGACAGAGTGAGAGTTATCTGGCCTGAGGCTGCTGCTGCTTTTTTTATTGTGCTTCCTTCAAAGCCAGGTGTCTGTGCTCCCTGTGGATTTCATCTGTGGAGAATTTATCACTGATAAATAACTGTTTGTGTTGAATTTACAGATGAGCTAAACTGTTTTCTTTAATGTTGCAGTTTAGTAGCTTTTCGTTTTCAGGTTTGTGCGAGCGCTGGCATTCAAAGGAAATAAATCTGTCACTCAGATAATGTACTTGCCCTTGGTACCAAAATACATAAATAAGAGTTACAAGGTCATTAAGCATATCAATAGAAAGAAAAATGTGCTGTGCATTAAACAGCTGACTTCCAGGCTGGGTTGGGCAAATAGCAGTGTACTAAAGTGTATTGCTCATTTCTCCTTCTGATTGTGAAAATCAATTAATTCCTTTTCTTTTTTTTTTTTTTTTTAGCACTTTCTCTTTGCACTGGAAACCCTCAGCACACGTCAGTCCAAATTTATGAGCAGTGTGTTTTTCAGTGTATTCCATTTATCAAATGTAAATTTCAGTAGCCAGTGATTTACCACAGAACTGTTTGGAAAGCAGCAAGTAAATATTATTGCCTAACAAAGTATTAAAAAAAGAAAAGCCAGAGCAGAGATTTTATTTGCCACTTCCCAAGCACTTTATCTTTGTCCTTGAAAAGGCAGGTTAGGTGAAGAATGCCCCAGTATAGCTCTGGAATGCATCTTTATGGTAATGTGTTTTTATTCTCAGTAAAAGGCAACCTTGGAAAGTACTGGATTACTGCTTATATTTTAATGTCTTTCATTTTCAGACTTTTCTACTAGGTGCAGACCTGAGGGAGCTGGATCCATAAGCCTCCCACACTCTGCATCACTCCAGATCTTGCTGATGCAAAGAGACAAGTCCTCATTGTCCCCTGCCGTGGAGTTCAGACAGTAAACAATCAGCAGGGAGAAAATTGCACAGTGTGGGTTCCGTGGTGTCTGGGCAGGCTGGGTGACACAGTCTCCACTCAGCCCCTTTTAGTCCTCTTCATCAGCTCAGGGCCACAGAGATAAGATGATGAGAGCCCTGGAGCACCTCTCCTGTGGAGACAGTCTGAGAGAGCTGGAGATGTTTAATCTGGAGAAGAGAAGGCTCTGGGCTGACCTTAGAGCCCTTTCCATACCCGTTTCATGTGTCAAACACAGCCAGATGACACAGCTGATTTTTGTAGAAGTTCCAGTAATACTAAATTAAAATAGCATCAGTGACAGAGGTTACCACCTCGTAATTTATTCTCTGCCTGATGGTCCCAAGAACAGTGATACTGTGGTGAAGGACTTGTCTCTTTATGGCTCCTAAACTTATGTACCTCATGCAGCCATCTGCATCCCCTCAGACCCACCTGCCCAGTGCAGCAAGGGGAGAATTGGATGATCCTTTTGAACTGACTGGCAAGCACCCTACACACAGCACAGAAGCACTTGTGTTGCCTCTGGAGGGGAGAAAGAAGCCACATGGCTGTTTCTCAGGTTTCATGTTGCTGAAATGGCTCCTGCGGTATTAAAAAGTCTTTTTTCCCAGCCCTGCGCTTGAAGAAGAAGTCGGGATTCCTCGGCTTTGGTTCTCAAGGCTGTTTATTTTTTCTTATCTAATACTTTCTTTTTTGGACCCACTGAGGTCAGTCCAGCAGGTTGAGTTGAGGCACACTGACCGCCCTTGGGGTGCTGTTATCTTTTTATACTAAGAACTACATGTACTTTATTTACAATAATTTTCCAGTACCTATCACCTATGTTAGACAGTCTGTCTCTACTTTAAACCAGTCCAGAGGTGTCACCATCACAGCAGAAGATGGAGGACAAGAGGAAGAAGAAGAAAGACAGGACACGCCCAGATTCCTCCATCTCACCTCTTGAACCCCCATTCTAAATCCCTAAAATTCTACTTTTTCACCCTGTGATAAATTCACTAACATTCTACTCAAACCCTTGTTGTAAATCTTTGCACAAAGTTGGTCATTTTTTCCATGAGTTAAGATGGAAGGCATAGGTGTCTTTGACTCTGTGCCAAGGTCTCTGAGCCCCCTGCCAGTGTCTCGAGCCATCCAGGGCAGTCTGAGGGATGTCCTGGGTTCTGACAGATGGTTTCTGTGCCCCCCCAGGTGTGGCAGTGCGGGGGCAGCATGGAGGTGCTGCCCTGCTCCCGCGTGGCGCACATCGAGCGCACCAAGAAGCCCTACAACAACGACATCGACTACTATGCAAAGCGCAACGCCCTGCGCGCCGCCGAGGTCTGGATGGACGACTTCAAATCCCACGTCTACATGGCCTGGAACATCCCCATGGCAGTGAGTACAGCCCACACTGTGGCCTGAGCACGGGCAGAAACACAAAGCTGCTCCTAATTAGCTCTTGGAGGTGAATGTTGAGGTGTTGTGGGTCCCCAGGATGAGGTGAGAGATGAGAATTGACTCCAGGTTCTCAGAAGGCTGATTTATTATCATATCATATAATATCATATTATGTTATATTACATTATATTAATAAGGAAATATAATATACATTAATAATATATATTATATTAAAATAAATTATCTACTATAACTATACTAAAGAAAGAGAAAGGAGGCATCAGAAGGCCAGACGAGAATGATCATAAAAACTCGTGACTGACCAAAATCCCAACACGGCTGGCTGTGATTGGTGTTTAATTAAAAACAATTCACATGTTTGGATAAACAATCTCACATTCCAGAGGAGCAAAATATAGAGAAGCTGAGGCTGCTTATCTTCTCAGGAGAAAAATTCTGGTGAAGGGATTTTTCAGAAAATATCACGGTGACAGACGAAGGGTGTTACTACAGCTGCACGAAGTGGGCAAAGCTCAGGGAAAGAGCTTTGGAAAGTGCATGCTCAGTATGGAGAGCTCTGCCAGGAGAACTTGCTGCCTCAGTCTAAGTTTAGTCGTGCACTCAGTGCTGACTGTTGTATGCAGTGACACAGATTTATAATTTAACCAGAGCAAAATGTCTCAGGTTTATGTGCTCCCCCAGAAGTCGTTAATTTGGGGCGCCGTTAAACTCTGAGGTGTTCATATGCTACAACAGTGGGGACAACAGAAATGTCCATAAATAAATATCATCATTCATTGTGATACTCAGTAGACCTCACCAGCATAAAAAACAAAGTATGCAATAAAAGAATCACACATTAAATAGTTTTATTGTCTACAGGCTGAGAGGTGCAATGTGGGCACGTTCTGCTTCTCACTGTGCATATGAATTGTAGATGGCGTGTGGGGGCCTCTAGGAATCCATGTAATATAAATATTAGATAAACTGTAGGTTCCATTTATCACTTAGTTCTGTAAGTATATCACATGCTACATCTGCGCTGAGCACAATCCTTGAAGAAAAGAGTTTTATGTTAGACCCCAGCCAGGTGGAAGCTGGTTGTTGGTGTGTTCTTGGCTGTGTTTGCATCTCAATTATTCATGTGAAGGGGCACAAGGAGAGCAGTTGAGGAGTAACATACAGTGATCTGTAGGTAACGATGGTTTAGTTAACCCTTACAGCAGGGGTTTGGCCAGAGCTGAAGGAAATAGGAACAGGAATGTTCCCATCAGAACAGGAAAATATGCAAACCCAGAGGTGTCTGGGAATATTCAGATATGATCTGGAGTTCATCAAAGTCATGAGACTCTTGTCTAAGACTGCATTAGATTTAGTCTGTCCTAAACATCTACTCTTACTTCGGTACCTAGTTAATACATGAAACCCCATTTTCTTTCCCCTTATAGTTTTAAAAATACACATTTTAAAGGAGCGATGTTTTCCCTTTGTCCATTTGATGTCTGAATATGCCAGATATTTCCACAGCTCCAAATTCACTCACTGCTGTTCAGTATTGGACACTGTGCAATGTGTTTATGGTGACTTCTTTTGGCACAAGAGGTAATTGCAGAGAATTATTTTGCCTTAGCAAAAGGCAATACTGCATCACTTTTTCCACACAAGACTTCTGTGACAGTAGGAGGAAGACAGTGCTGTGTCCATTAAAAATATATGAGCATTTTGGCCCTGTCTGAACACATAAAATACACTTGCTAAAATGGTCAGTTTTCAATTAGGAGATGAAAAACTAACCTCTGTAAATTTGCTTGCTTGATGACATGTGCAAATGAATTCTGAGAAAAGATGATATTTAAATAAGCATTTACGCCAAAACATGATTTCCTTTAATCTCTCTGAGATTACTTATTGATGCAGTTTTCTGCACTGAGCTGTACAGCAGAGCTTTTAAAAAAACCCAGGCACATCTACAATAAAAGAAATAAAATCAGCAGAAGTAGTGAACATTAAAATTTCCTTTTCATAAAATAAATTCATTGATTGATAAAATGTGCATCATAAAAATCAGCCTATTAGCTCTCAGGAAAAGGAAGCTGAGAAAAGCTGGTGTTCATGACATTATTCAATACAGATGACAGAAGTACTGAACTTTTGGCATAAGCCATCACAAAAACCTTCTGCAGGGCAATTAGAAACCTTGCTAGCTGGTTAAAAAGAATATATCCACACAGTAAATCCTGTGGACACCTCATTCTTGTGCCATCACACTGTAACCTGCCCATGGTGGCTGCAGCTGGCACAGAGGGTGAGCACAGCTCAATTTGTTTTCATAGTTGCTCCATTTGCTGCTCTTGTGCTCTGCAGAAACAGCACTGCCAAAAAAGGGCACAGTGTTGCCTCATTTTAAATAGGGCAGAAAAGAGGCAGGTAAAAGACAGGCATTTTCACATACCACAAAACTGACCTAAATTACTCTTCTATAACTTATATTCTCAGCTTCTCCACATTAACTCTTCTTCCCACCACCTTTTTCACAGCTCACAGGTTATTGAAAATGTGTGCATAATGTTTTTCTAGATCAGCAGATGGTCTTGGGCACACCTGCAATATCATGTTCCTATAACCTTCAGCAGCAGGTCAGCACAGCTTTATTCCAGTTAACCAAACACTTGGTACATCCCCACTTATGATTTATTCCTCGACAATTTTGGTGATAAAGGAATCTTACATTGGATGATTTATTGCACTGAGTGCCTCAGAGGATTGCTCTCCCTCCACGCAGCCTCAAGTACCACGTAAATTAACATTCATTTGAATGGATGCTGCACTGAGGGCTCCTGACAGAACGTGCATCAGCAAGCAGCAGTGAGCACAGCAAACCCTTTATGTGGCAAATAGGAAAACCTGTTCAGTATTACACTTGTATTCTCTCCTGGAAACCAGGCATCTGTTGGGGATCTTAATAAACCCTGAGCTAAGATTTGCTGCTGTCTTGGAACCCTGCATTAGAAAGAATCTGTAAAATGTACAGATATTCTTCTGGAGGAAAAGCACAAAGCACTTCAGAGAGATCTCATGCAAAACTCCCCAGTTTCAGTCCATTTGATTAATGTAGTGTCAGAAAAGGGTTTTGGATGAGGTAACTCTTACTGTCTTAATGTTGAACTGTGATGATTTATAACACCTTAAATCAACAGACTCTAACTCAGGACTCAGTAGTTCTAAATGGCTGGCTTTGTTCATATTAACTTGAATCTTCCAGCCTGTGTCTTTCATGGGATTTGTATTTAAATGTGAATTAAATTCTGAAGTAGAATTATAAAGGTTTTGAGTTTAACTGCATTCTATGGCTCAAGTCTGCAAATGAGCTGCAGGTCTAGTAAAAACTGAATGCTGGTCTATATGAATGCTTAGTGGAGCTTAATGATTTTTGAGCAGCTTCACTTTGAAGTTTTAACAGATCTGTTCTGACATAATTTACTTCACTGAATACTCAAATCTCTTACTGGAGTAAGCATGACCAAGCTGCCATATTTTAGATCAGAATTACTGCCTAAATTCTAAATGAATCTGAAAACAAAGGCTTGAGGATTGATTGCAAACACTTAGAACTGCTGTAAGTAACAACATTCTTATTGTATTCTTATTATTTTGATTTATTTTGGGGTTTCTTTTGTTCTTTATTCTCCTTTTTCCACTGGCTTTCATTAATATTTATTGTCTGCACTCAGCACCAGCTGTTTGATGAGCTACTGCTTACAACAAAAGCAAGAAAGGAGGGAAATACAGCTTGGTACACAAAATGAACTCCAGTTTGATTTCAGAAAAGATAGCAACCATAAAGCCAGTGCAGTGAGATTTCTTTATTCGTTTTCTGCTTTGCAGAACCCCGGAGTTGACTTTGGAGATGTTTCTGAACGAATTGCTCTGCGACAGCGACTGCAGTGCCGGAGCTTTAAGTGGTACTTGGAGAACGTGTACCCTGAGATGAGGGTTTACAATAACACAGTCACTTATGGAGAGGTACAGCATGTCTTTGGAAACACATCACAGCTGCACTCGAGCACTCCTCTGCTTTCAGAGCTGGCTATCAGGATGTACTGAGCAATTACACATCAGCACAGCAGTGGTGACAAAAATGCCCTCCCCTCCTTTTAACCAACACTAGGGAGTGTGGCTTTGAGAAGCCCTGTTCCTTTTGTTGGAGGGCAGCAGGTTGTAGGCCCACAGTTTGTGGTGATTGGGAGCGGGGCTGTGGCTGAGCCCCATCCCCAATGGGCACAGCTGTGAGCAGCAGGTGAGCAGCATTGAAACAACGAGCCATGGAGCGCCCAGGGGCACTGAGCAACCACCAAGGGAACAGAGGGCACACAGGGGCACTGCATCAGCATGAGGGGATAAAAGGTTGGGCTAAAGAACAAGAAGAGCAGATGCTTGAAGCCTTCTGATGTTATTCTGTATGGGTTGAAGCCTTCTGATATTGTGTGGTGATATTCTGTGTATCGTGGCTTTCTCAACTGTGGCGTATGCTGCAGCACAGGTGAAGCCATCCTTACTGACAATTACACACAACCTCCTTGGCTCTCATTTTAAAACACTGAGACATAAGTTTGAGCCAATCATTTTCCCAAATAAGATGCCACAGACATCATAAAGAAAACGTCAGTGGTCAACAGAGCTCAAATAATTGTCTACATGAGATGCAATTAAATCCGAAGGCAATATATTTTCCCACAAGACAGCTAAATGGAGACTGTTCCTTTCTCTTCCATTTGATTGACTTCATACAAAAATAAGTCAGGCACTTGAGACATTGATACAAAGTGGAAGTTTTATTCCATAATATCACTTTGCATCCTAATATAACTCTCCCCATCAGGAACTGAGAAAAGACGTTGAGTAAATTCAAGAGGAGCTGTTGGTATCTGTCAGCTCTGAGGAGGTCGTTAACAGTGAGGAACATTGGCAGAAGTGCCAATGTTGTGTCAATTATACCAGACCCTGAGCAATCTGGGCTCTAAAATAAATTTTGTTCCTCTTTAGCTGTCACATAGAAGGTTCTTGAGTCAAACAGTGAAGCAAATATCAAATTCTTTAACATTTTTAATAGAATAAAGCCACACAAGGTATTTACCTGTTATAAACCAGCCTAGGTCCCTTTCATTCCTTAGACTTCATCCTAATGACATCAAGCTTGTTGTAAAGTACTTCTGGGTATTTTCCTGGAGGAAAAGATGTCTGGATATTTGTGAGTTTCAAGAAAAATAAATGTATTGAGTAGATGTGAGACAGATTGAAACAGTAGTAAAAATATATTTCCTAGTGACTCACTTCCCCTTTTTTTAAAGCCATCTCATAAAGCTGCCTTCATCTCCTTTAGCCTTTATAGCCCCCAAGCCATAAAATAAACCTCCTGAAATTTAGTTGTTGGTGGGCTCCCTTATCCAATTGGATTCCCTGTTATGCTTGTACACTATAATATGAATCAATATATACTGATTTTTTCCTGACACCTTATGCAGTAGCTATTTTTAAATTATGGGGGTCCTCAGACAGGTACTTCACAGTCTAAACCAAAATTGACCTGTTGAGTCTTTTGAGGTGTCTGTCTAAATAAACTCTTGTTTATGATATCTCTAAAGTTTTTCTGTGTTCGAAATATGTGTGTAATCCTTACAGCCTCAAGAGAAAGGCTGGAAGAGGTTTCACAAGAGCTCCATCCCAGTTTTTATAGACTTGTAAATTCTTCTTGTCTAGGGAGGCACAGGAATTTTTTACTTCCTTGGATCTCTGAACTTGTGCCCTTTCATAAAATGTGCTTTATGTCACTTCTGTACATAACAATGTACTATATTTTTAGTTCAGATAAAAATTTTTCACATGCTTTTTTGATTTTATATCAGCAATAGGAAGAAACAAAAGCATGTCACATCCAACACCAATCCTGGGTAGCTCCTATCCTGTTTATAAAGCCACATTCTCAACATACAAGGTCAAAATTTATGTTTGCACATTGACAATTTGGAGCAAAACTTGGCCTGGGTTTCTTGGCGTGAATTTTAGGAAGTTCTGATCCTTGAGTAATTGCCAAAAATGTACCTCTGACCCAAGGTGTGTAAAGACAGCAGGTTCTCCAAATAATGTCTTTTCCTCTAGCAGATTCACTGCTGGTACTCTGTCATAGCTGAAGTAGAAGAATGTGTCCCTCAGAGAACAGTTTTACATGGTAGATTTTTCAGGAGCTGTAGCACAGCTGAGATTTAGCTGGGCTGGACTGAAATGGGGGTTCATTTCCAGCTGAAGTGTTTTCATTCTGATCTGGTTCCAGGTGCGGAACAGCAAAGCCAGCGGCTACTGCCTGGACCAGGGGGCTGAAGAGGATGACAAAGCCATCCTTTATCCCTGCCATGGAATGTCCTCCCAGGTAAAGGGTGAAAATCCCATCATGAGTGAGAAACCTTGCACTCAGAGAATATTCAGAAGAAACAAAGAGTAATTGGATGTATTTGTGTTGAGTATGGCAGTGTAATTCCTGAGCTGCAAAGGCAAATGTCTGGATTTGCTCCAGTCTTGTCAGGTGCCTTTTCCAAGGTTGTCCAGCTTGTGAATCCATACTTTGAAATTGCCAGTTAGGAAAACAGAAGGATCACATTACTTGTTTAAATAACAGGGATCCACTGAAGATTAATTAATTTAGATAGTCTGTGGGAGTGAGCAGTTCTTCTTGCTATAACATGACTTATTCATGGTACCTCTTTAATTTAACCGTTCCTTGGTCCAGCAGGCTCTCGGGCAGAAATTATTTATCAAGCTGCTGATTTGATTCCCCAAGTAGGCAAAAAGTTAAGCACATATTTAACATCAGCTTCAAAGGGAATTAAGAATATCCTCTAAGACTTTTCTATAATAGGTTTCTCTTTTTTTCTTTTTTTTTGTCAGTCCCTGTGCATATTATTATTTTCTTTCAGATGTCTGAAGATTTAAAAATGACATTTCTTCTTTCCATGCTCATAGTGATTTTACTCATACAAGTTGGATATTATTTAAATCCAGGACTTGAGCTTTTTCTGAAATGAAATTCTTGTTTCTTTTGAAGTAGCATCTGAATCAAAACTATATTAATGAACATTCTCATGTGTAAATAAACTCTGACCTTATCAGGCTTAACAATTATCCAAGGCTCAGTCACGCATATATTGATTGGGAGTCCTGGCTCATGCATCACCACAGAGGTGAAGTGAGACAGACAGTAATTCCTGCTGGCACAATGTCCACCTTTGGCAGGATCATTATGGACTATTTGACTGACACTCTCCTAGTAGAGGTGGAAGGAGCAGCCTTTGAGTAAGGTAACAAAATGGCATTGCTTAAATAGATGTAAATTAGCTTCTCAAGAAGACTCTCATTAGAGATGTCAAGGCACTCAGAGAGAGCTCAGTCTCCTGGTCCATCCTAATTGAAACAGAAAGTTGCAAATTTAAGTCCTTCCTGAAAGTCCCTTAGCAACATCTAATCTCTATCATAGTGTTCTAGCACTTAGAAGAGTAATGAAATAAATGGTTCTGACTGTAATTTATTTTGCAATTTAAGTCCTTAACCTACTTGTTTGCCTCCATGATTCCTGTTTCACAGAGTAGGCTTTGACTTTGACTTCAGGAAGAAAATAGATGAGGGCATAAGTTACAGTGAATTTTTCCCTTTAAAACAAACAAACAAACCAACAAAAAACAGGAAAAGAGTTTTCATTCTGCAAGAAACACCAAATGAAGGCAGAGGTGATGTTTTATCTAAGTTGAGTATTTCACAGACAAGCATGAGCTGGAGCCACTCAAATGCAGCCAAGTTAATTAATGATTACACAGCTGGAAAACTTCTATAATCTCACCACAATTTACAAAATTAATTCAGTGTGAGAACCACAGCTGCACAAACCCTAATCAAGGATATTCAAGCACATAGCACGAAAGGTGTTGACAGCAAGTGTTTTAATATATTAAATAAACATTTTTTAAGCCCCTCTTCTAATCAGCCTGGGTGAGCATAGTTGTCTGCTGCATTTAGCTTTCCATTTCTGACATGTTTCATCTCAAGCATAGGACATAAAATACCCCTACTGAGCTGAGATTTGGGTTATTTGTACATGCCTACTGAATATAAATTCATATAAATATGGAACTCCCTTTCCCCGGTTGGGTTATCAGTGTTGCTCATATGTCCTACCAACGGGAAAGCCTCTCCCTGTTTAGCTATAGCCCTGTTTGTTTTTCATACTCTTCAATTCTGACAAGCAGATTACCAGGGATTTTAGTGTACACATGGTTCCACTGAAACCCACCCAAATCAGGCAGGTGTTTAAAGAAAGCTGAGTTAGGAATAAGTTTACTGTTCATCTGCGATAAAATGTTCTTTTTCTCTATGTCCTACCCTACTGTTTCCCTTGGATGTTGTTGTCCTGCATTATAGTGGCAAAATAAAACCACTCCACTGTGACTGCCTTTCCCTATGTGTATTTTCAAGATCAGTTTTCACCATGATAAATCACATCTTTGTAATGATATCAGCTTTTAAATTTCTTTATTCAAACAGGGACAAGCTCTTTTATGGATGCTCTGGAATGCATTTATCCTGAGCTTACATCAATTTGGTTTAATGAGTTTGACTTGAGCTAAGTCATTGTAAGCTAACAGCTAAGAATATCCAGACAAGGTTTTGCATCAGTCTGAGTCGATTTCAAAACCTATTTTACAACAAAGTAGTGTCTTTTTTATATATGTTCATTGGATCTGAAGTTTGAGTCTAATGGCTTTCAGGAAAAAAAATTTGCAAATACTACTGGGAGAAACAGTCCAGGGCTACAGAAGATTTGTAAATAAAGAAATATATTTGGAGGCTTGCACTGCTCTGCCTCTGTGTGTGGCTACCATTGTGCAATCAGCAGCAAAGCCCAGTGGTACTATACACTTTTGTTGTAAAATAAATTTAAAAAAAAAAAAAAAGTGAGGTTGTGGGGACAGATACAACACCCCCAAAAGTGGAACGTGTTGTTCTGGAAGCTTCATAGAATAGTTAAAGGACATGCAGGTTTTGAACCATCTGAGAACAGTGCGCATCCCCAGTGCAAATATTCACTCTGAGCCTGCCTTGAATGCCATGATGTGGAGCTGATTATATGGTATGTGAAGGAGAGGAGAACATAATGAAATATCATCGTGGGATAGAAGGGCCAGGGTGAACAGCCCCCTTGGCCACCCTCCTCCCTTCCCTTTCACAGCAGAGACAGGGGAGGCTCTGCAGCTGTGAGAGAGAACTCCCTCTGCATTGAGAGCAACGAGAGGGAAGGGAGAGCTCCCTGCTCGGATCCCTGGGGCTGCAGCTACACAAACAGAGTGAGAGGAGATGAAAGGCTCTGCTTAAGCTGTTGCTAGAGGGCAGGTATTTAACATTTTGCTGGGTAGAGCTGTGAGTGCCCAGATTTGTGTGCAGGGCAGCAGGGTGGATGAACAGGTGCTTTCTGCACCTGCAGGAAGAGGTGGGTGGGATTCTGGAGCAAACATGGAAGTTTGATAAGCTGTGATCTGTTTGCCTTGAGGTATTCTGGAGATGTAGGGTATTTGGGATTCCTGCATTGCTCAGTGTTTCAGTTCCTGTGTCAGCTGACAGCTTGCCTTAACTGCAGGGCTGAGGAACCATTAAAGATTTCCTTTTGCCTGGAGAACAAGAGTGTGAGAGAGAGAGAGAGAGAGAGAGGTTCAATTTAGTGTGGAAAGCCACCAGGCCCATCCTAGTAACTGTTTCCTACAAACAATTACCTGCAATCATTTGGTGCTTTTTTCACTTGGCTGGAAGTTAGCAGGAAAGGATTTCTGGAGTTAAATCCTCCAGTTTAAAGCTGCCATTTTGTTACCACATTAATATTCCTGGAGGATCATATTCCATAGGCAACAGCACTGACTATTTTTGATCCAGGTATGGTGGCTTTGATAAACAACCTTTGACATCTTTTGCATTCTGCTCAGATTTCTGAATGTTGAAGGGAAAACTGTCCTGTCTTACATTAGTATAGCAGATGGTATCTGGATTAGATCTTTAGTATTTAATAGAGCACTTGGCTTCAGTGTCATTTGAATCCTTCAGCTCTTCCTAGATAAAAGAGACAAACTGAGTGAAGGTCCATCCCTATGTGATGTATAGAAGTGTGCTTCTGTTCTGCAGTTTGCAGTTTGGAGTGTGTAGATATCTAAGGATCTCAGCCATCAAAACTTGCACAGATTTTTTGGGTTTTTTAATTCATAGGATTTAATATTTCTTAACAAAGGGAACTTTGTAATCTGATTCTGGCTGGTTGGCACTGGGAATGGATTTGACATGGTGTATCATGCCCACAGTCCTAACATAAATAGGAATTATTTATTTGTGGATATGTTAGTGACACTTAAGATCAAGTTTGGACACAGGAGGTATAATTTTCATTGGCTGTATCCCAGTTCGTGCTTTCTATCCTATAGTATAAGCAACTTATTTTAATGCATATTTTATTTTCACAGTTTATGTGGTCTCTAGGAAGTTAAGACAGGAATTCTTTGGAGAGAGATATTATTAATCATATAGTAGTGTTTTGAACCTTAATTTGTCTGATTTTGCAGAAGCAGGTTCTACATCTTTCCTATGTAATATGGTCTGAACTGAGATAATCCTGTGTAGGTGGGGTTTTTTTTATTTCGATTTCATTGTGGAATAAGTCCAAGTTTTCAAGACTGTTGGAACAGCCATAAAAACTTGACAGAAAGTGCAGATTCAGGAAATTAGGCCCATGCTGTTCCATTTGTCTCAAGATTGTGCAGATAAGAGTCTCCTGCACGGAGCCATCCCTGACCCTGTTGAGCTGTAACACAAACTGCCACTTTCAATACTGCAGATAATTTAGAATAGAGTTAATGTATCTTGCACTTCTAAAGCGTAAGCAGGACTGGTCCTTTCTGCTCTGACAGGCTGCCCTATAACAAAGCGCATGGCCACTGTGGCACAGAGCACATGGAGCTCTGGCTAGTGAGATTCTGATGACAAAGAATGTTTCAGACAATTTTAATACCAGTACAGAAAATGCTGCTCATCTCAAAAAGGAAAATCAGTCGTATCCTACAGAGCAGATAGCCCATTATAAACAGTGCTTCTGATTATCTACATAAGGCAAAGCCAACAAGCTTGTGGGGCAGCATTTTGGGACTACAGAGAGATAACAAAGACTGCAAGATGAATACATTTCCTGGTCACTGTTTCAGCCATACCTGCAGTTCATTTGAATTCTGCTGAAAAGCCATTAAGTAGAAGTGTGAAATATACAGTCTGGTTTTATTTAAGAAAAAAGGTAAAAGACAAAATGTTGTGTTTGATTTGCAGTTTCTTAAACAGCTCCTTTTTATGTGAAAAAACAAAGTTAATTTGTCTGACCTGGCACTCCCTTCATATTTTGAATTACTTTGCTTGCTTAAGCTTATTTTACATATGTCCCTCCTAATCTCAGAGTGGAAAAAATCCCCAAAAGTGTCTTGATGAAGTGTGTCCAGACTGTGCCATGACAAAGGCACTGTTCATAGCCAGAGCATCCTCATGTGGTTATCTCTCTGATGTAGGCTCTCTTCTACCTCTATGCTTCACATGGCTGCTCTGAGCAGAAGTGGCAGGTGGGAAAATGAACACATACTATGTCAAAGAGCATCTGGTCTGGGAGCAAGTAGACCATGCTCTTTTTACCACCAGCAAGAAATGATTATTCACAGCATGATTCTTCTGAGGTTAATAAGGATGGCAGTAGAAAACCAGACTCTAATTTGAGTTTTTTTGATTGATTCTTAATGATATCTCACACACTGGTCAGTGGCATCCAATAAATGGCAGGCACTTCTGACCTTCCTTCCCTTTCTTGTTAAGTAATTTCAGCCATATAACAGCAATAGGAGCAGACAGGCAGTGAATTTCCTGGGTGGTAATTGCATTTCTTTGGTGGCTCAGATCCTCACCCTGCAGCATCCAGACTGACAGCACACCAGCCACGTAGCTGACTCCACTCTGCAGTCTTTTGGCACCTGGCCGTTGCACTTCCAGAGTAGGAAGGGCAAAATATTATGCTGGTTTAATGACTCTGGGTTTAAGCACAGAAGTGAGAAGTAGATAAGTCTGATTTGATGTATTGGCCTGCTGCCAAATTAGCATCGTGCATTTTTGCTTTAATGTGCTTTACAGAAAACTGAAATACCAGAGTGTCATTCTTTATTATGTAGGCCTGAAGCATATGTTAGCAAATTTGCTGCCATTTCCCTCATGGTTTCTTTTTTTCCTCTCGTATTTTTGGATACGGGTTGCATGGCTGGATTTTTTTCAGTAATGTTTATTTACAAAAACTAATTAGACTTGTTGCTATCAATAGCCTCTAACAGAGCTCTTAAGAACAAACTGCACGACAAAATTGACATCGTGTCCTTGTTAAATCAACTCCTGCTGAGTGGGCACGATTTGCATATTGATTACTTCACTTCCTTGATTGCCCTTTTCGCAGTGACATAGTGGGTGGGGAGTGCTGAGGAGCAGAAGTGTGGGAGAAGGGGATGTTGTGCTCTGTTTTACCAACATTGGCAGGATTTGCCCTTGAGCAGTGTGTCCCAGACCCAGAGTGCAGAGTGCTGGGGAGCAGAAGTGTGTGAGAAGGGAATGTTGTGCTCTAGTTTTTACCAACATTGGCAAGATTTGCCCTTGAGCAGCATGCCCCAGAACCAATGTGCAGCTAGGACCAAGGGCTCCTCAGCAGCTCAGAACTCTCCTTTCTCCCCAGCTTGTCCGCTACAGCTCGGAAGGTGTCCTGCAGCTGGGGCCCCTGGGCTCCACCGCCTTCCTGCCCGACTCCAAATGCCTGGTGGATGATGGCAAGGGCAGGACACCCACCCTCAAGAAGTGTGAAGATGTCCTGAGGCCAGCACAGAGGTTCTGGGATTTCACACAGGTGAGGAAGAGCTGAGGAAGCCTTGAAGAGATGAATTAAAGAGGGATGATGACAAGGAGGTCTTTGGAGGGCTGTACCAGGAATTCCCGCCAGTACTTTTTAGAAATAGTCAGATATGTTTTCCATAGATCATGTGCTACCCAGGAATATTCTTCCATTATTAATAGAAATTTTGGGGTATGATTTCTAGGAATTTTTGCTTATCCTGTTGTGGAGTATTCTCAATTTCTGTCCCGATTGTCAAGAATGTGCTTCTAATTGTTTTTTGCATTCAGAACTTTTCTAAAATTTTTCTAGCACCTCTATAGGCATTTTTTAAGATCTAGAATCTTCTTTTTTAAGATTTTCAAAAGCATTATTACAGTCTCTGGGATTTCCTGTTTCTTGGGCTCTGTAGGGATTCACTAGTGCTTTTTAGAGATTTTCTAGTGATTTGGGGGGATTTTTCCAGCAATTCCTAAATGTACAATTATCAAGGAATTATTGTGGTACTTTTTATGCATTAGCTAGCTTTTCCTAGGAATTTCTAGCACTTTCTGGAGCATTTATCACTTGATATATACAGAAATTCATTTTATAATGTTTTTTAAGGATTTACAGATCTAGCGCTGTTTTTTCTAGTCCGTTCACCTTGTGGTTCTTTCCTCTTATTTTTCCCCATCTTTTTTTTTTTTTCCTAGAATGGTCCAATCATCAGCAGAGACACAGGCCGTTGTCTAGAAGTGGAAATGTCAAAGGATGCAAATTTTGGGCTCAGATTGGTCGTACAAAGGTGCTCGGGGCAGAAATGGATGATTAGAAACTGGATCAAGCATGGGAGGCACTGACTGTGGGGCTGAGCTGCCTCTCCTGCTGCTGTCCATTGCTCAGTGTGCCATATCTCCTGAGGCATTTGTCTTAAAGTAAATTAGTTTGAACAGATCTTGGCCCTCAAGAGTCCTCCATCGTTGGGCATTCCAAGGAAAGAAAGAAGAAAAAGGAAAGCAGACACATACATGCCCTGTTTGACTTTTCCTTGCTCCAGCAGATGATGTGAGAAGCTCAACGAGAGTTTTCTGTTGATTTGGAAATCTTGTGAAGACCAGAACACAACAGGAAAGTGGATTCCTTCAGCTCTCCTAGAGGAATTGACAGATCTTTCTATGCTGAGTTCAAAGGAGACATCCCAATACTGCCTCATAAAGAGAGTTCTCTGATGGGTAGCTTTTTAGCTTTAAGTTTTGGACTGGTGCACAACTCCTACAGTGAATAATTATGTGCCTTTTTTATTGTACTTCGTATAAAAGAGGACTGGAAAAATCCTACCTTTTCAGCATGTCTGGTTCGTTGTACTAAACAAGAAGATCTGTAAATAACATTGGAAATATACTATAATATATGATGCATTTCAAGATTGATTGTTTAGGAGTCTCTGTTTCTAGAAAGAGACTGTTCTGCAAATGTTTACAGGTGGTTCTCAACCTTTGAGCTGCTGGAGAGCAGCATTTTAGAGACCTCTTCTAGTTAGACACAGATAAATGTTGAATAGGTAAAATAGCCACATGCTCCGTTATATTGCCACATTTTACATTTGTTGGCTGTAGAGACATCACAGTTTAGCACTTGGATATTTGGCTCTTCTGAGGCAGTAAATGTCCTGGTGGATGGATGGATTTCAGGAGGCCTCAGCTGGCCCCAAAGCCCTGAGTGTGTGTCCTGTCCTGCAGGTCACTGTTGTGTTGTTCCAGAGACTGCCTGGAACAAGAATACTTCCAAATCCTCCTTATTCTGGAAATAAGTTGACTGGCTTAGTTGCCATCTGTGGAGCTTAAAAACTTGGATCTTCCATTTTGTTTCCCATCCTGTGAAAATGTCAAATGTGAGCAAATATGCTGTGTGAGCACTGTCTAGACAAATTTCCTGAATAAACCAACAAAGTTTTTTCAGCATTTGAAAAACAAACACAAGCCTGGTTATAAGAACGCAAATTAGAGCTAGAGGTAGGGAGCATATATAAATACTGTTACTCTGAAATATAAATATTTTACTCTAGCTGACCCATTGGCAGCATCTTTGTAAACCTGAATTTAATAATGCATCCAGTGGTTCATGCAGGGTCAGTGCATATGGACAGAACAGTGACAAAGTCTTTTCCAAAAAGCTGTCAATATTAATGAGCACTGTCATCAGCAGGTTTTGGATGTGGGTCCGTGGCACACAGCTTTTCTGTACAGATGATTTCAGTCATACTGAAGGAGAGACAGAGATGGTATCTGTTAATTTCACAGTTTAATTTTTTATAGTTTAAAAAAAAATTGTTTTGTTTTACTGAGCCAGAGAAATAGATAATTGCAGTCACTGTGGTACTGTGAATCTTGGTGATCTGTTCCTTGAATAACTTTTGCCATTCCTATTTCAAGGCATGCTGAACAAAATTTAATGGAAACAAAGTTAATTTTTCAAGGGCATGATATGTAATAAAATTTTTACTTTTAACATGCAAAATCCATCAGGTCTTGTCAAGTCTTGGTTAGTATCTAGAAAGCATATCACTATGTTTTGCCCCAGTTTTATTCTTGAAATAGAGTGTGCAAGATGCAATACCAAGCCAATTCTCCTGGAGTTTACTTGTGGCTAATTGCTGATCTTTATTCATGCCTCATGGACCAGGTTACACGTGAGCATATACAAAAGAGTAATTCTGGGTGTGATTCTAGGTACAAAAATACTTAAAATTCTGTGTTTGTGGTAAGTTGAACACAACCTTTTGAAAAGTGTAATAAGACCTGCAGGGAGAGTAGCATCTTTAATAAATCAAGCAATACTGTATAAAATCACGGACAATCTCAGTATTCAAGCCTTCCTGCAGGTCCGAAACAGGTAGGAAACTTCAGGCTAAATAGAGATTGGGAAAAGCTGCCCTGCATTTAACCTCCTTATGTTAAGCTATCAGACAATTTAAAGTTATATTTAGCATCTATGCAGCAGATGTTGAAGGCTTTGTACAGAAGTGAGTTTGTAAGTGAGTTTTCATCTTCTCTCCAAACACAATTTCCACCTTTTAAACTGTATGAAAGCTTTATTCTCCTTTTGTTTGCTCTGATGGAGTTTTACTCCTTGAGGGAGGTGAGAAAGCAGAGGAAGGAAAAGATGGTTTCACCAGGTGAGATTTTGGGGGAGTAACAGGACATTCACACCCATTTTTAGTCTTTCCAGTGAGTAAGTGCTAACTATTTTATATGAACATGGCAGGAAGTGGAAATTAATTATATATCAGTGTGACCTATTAGAGTATGAAGTGACAGTACTGAACAGAAGCAAATATGTCACGTGCTTTCTTTTTCCCTTTTATTTTTCCTTGTCTTGAATTAGCAATCTTCACTTGATCCTTGGTTAGCCCCTTAGTGGGGCAGCAAGCTTTTCAAACCCTGGGTAAATGAAAAAGGAAAATTGAATATTTAGAGGAATTTAAAGTTTAAATCTACGCTCATGAAACAAATCTGGCATAGGCAGTTTAGGAGCTTTGAAGCTGAGAGGACCAGATAGATCTGTGTTTACTGGCAGAGATTTCAAACCTTCATCTGACACCACCATGATCAAAGAGAATTGGGTTTCTTGGAATTTTGCCCTGAGGGCATTTGACTGTGGCCACACTGTCTGAGAGTGGTCAGTCCTGGCAGGTTTGAGTGCCAAGGCCACCAGCTGCAGGAGGCTTACAAGAACCAGACTTAGGGTACAAGAAGGAAAACAGGTTTTTGTGGTAGATAAATGGCTTTGAGATTTACATAGTAACATAAAAGAAATCAAATAACTCTTAAAAGGTGGAGTTGGTATTTTATGTGATTGTCATTTTTTTAAGACTTGCTGGAACAATTTCTTATATTTGCAAAACACATCTGTTGGATTAATTTTCCTTTATTCTTTATCTGTATGAACCACTGCTTTGGCTGTGGTACTAACATGGTGACTCTGCATGTGAGAGAGTCTTAAATATTCTCTCGTCAAAGGAATAATAATAAAAAAAGCCTTGAGTATTATCTGTTTTAACCAAAGTCTATGGTTCTTTTGTCAGTATTTCACCCCTTAGTATAATCTGAAATCCTGCTTAATGGTGTTCAAATTTTCAGTCTTGTTTCCCACAGTGCAGCATTCTAGATCTCATGAAAACTATTCAATGTAGTGTAATATGCCTTGTGGAGAAAATTCAGATCAAAGGCTTTCTATGCTATTTTGTTTGATTTAGAGGATTATGGAGCTAAATACTAGGTCATAGGACAAAAGAATAGAAGGTAAGAAAGACCAGCACACCAGTAATAAAGTCTAGCACACTGTTGTAAAAGCCAAACCAGGAAAAATATTATTTTCTAAGCATATTAGAGCCCCTAAAAATGGGTTTGGGTCCTAAGGTAATAAAAGCCTTTTCTTTTTTGAGAGCTATAGACTATTTTCCAAGCTGAATTTAATTTTGGTTTGGTTGAATCTATTTGTTCCTCAGCTAGAGCTGCCCTGTAGCCTTACTGGCTTGCTGGTTCCTGAGGCATGCTAAGCCCCAGTGGGAAGGAAACAAGAGAAATTTGATGCTTTGGAAGGACCCACTGGATTCCCTTGCAATCATGTAAGTTCTCTATTGTGCTCACCCATCAGAACTCTTCAGGCCTGTGCCACATGCAAAAAACCAAACTCAGGTTGCACAGAAGTGTTTTAAGACAAAAATATGGAAACAAACAACAGCTCTTCATACGTATTTTCAAAGTGTTGAAATGTTTCTCTCAGTTGAATTAATAATTTGGGGCTTGATGTATCTGAAGATGAAGCCTTCATGGTCCTTCATTTACAGTCCTTTTCATTGACCTGTCCCTTTTAAAAAACTGATCTAGTAGATGAAAATCTCACTTGCCGTGTGACAAGGGGTGTAATCTATCTGACACAGGATAGCTGCAGTTTTAAGTACTTAAGTCATAGCTAGTCAGATTTAATGAAATAGCACCAGTCCTAATCTGTTCTTTAGATCAATTACACAGTGTGTAATTCCTTCAGTAACCAGTATTCATTTGAAATGGTTCATTACCAGCCACACAAAAGTGCATTATGGCCAGTTTCAGGATCCAGGGAGTTGGGCTGTAAGAAATACAACAGAAGTTGTAGTTCAGAGGGAGATTAACATATTATTATTCAGATAGGGCACAAATACCTTTGTTTTTCATGAGAGGCTTTGGGAGGAAGAACAACTACCAGAATTCACTTGATTGAAGGTGTTCCTAACAATGATGTTCTATTTTTTTCTGCTGCTATTTTGACTGCCTGCTTCTTAGTGCTGATCAAAGTCAATGGTAGAGGTCATAGCACAGATAAAAGATGGTGTTGCAAATTAGAATATCTAGCTAACAGGCTGGATAGAAACCAAGGAATGATCAGATCTCTAAATCTAGATGCCACCACAGGAAACTTAATACCCAAAAATTCTCTTTGGAAAGAATCCCAAACTACAGTGACCTCTTTAGTGCGTTATAATGGATTTCAGAATGGCTCCATAAAATTCAGTGACTTACTTTACAAAAGCATTAATGACATGTAACTAAAAGGTATTGAGTTCAGGGGTTGTCCTAAATAAAAACAATGGGGTTTGGCCAGGAATGCTTACAAATACCCAGGGAAACAATATATGGCAACCTGCTTTTGAAAAACAATTTCTGAATCAAGAGTGTCTTCAAAGACCTGTCAAAGCATTGATTACTTTTCATAGTATTAGTGTTTCCTATTGGCCATCAACAAGTGTTGTGCAGTTCTCAAACTCTTTGTAATGTTTAATTTTAAAAAATTGCAGCAACTAGAATGCAAGTTGTGACTGCAAATATTTTTTCATTATGTGGCACATCATCAAACCAATTTGTATTCACACAGGAAAAGTTAATAAATTACTATGCATTTTACTGCTGACATGAGCTGCATGTTTTATCATTGTACATTTGGACACGCATATTAAAATTCCAAGATTCACACAAAGGAAAACTAGAGTAGCAAAGCATATGGGCATTTTAAAATTTAAATTGCACATATTGTGTTCTGAAAGGCAGTCACCACACACTCGTAAGAGACTTGGCCCTGGGGTGCACAACCAAAACTGGATTGATAACAGTGCAGACTAATGTCATCTACATATCCAGCATCTCATTACTGCAAACAGTCAATAATTGTTGTTTAGAAATATGAAATAGGATGTAGGGAAAATGTAGAATGATCCTTTCACCATGTATGTCCCCCTAATTTCTCACGGTAAGGCCTTCCCAAGCTATAGGCTCTACACCATCCCAACCATTAGATTTAATGACACTGGGGCTGTATGTATCCAATCCACTCAGAGCTCTGGGTATCACAACATCCTGTAATACATCCTGTGCTGTAATAAATAGCACTGTTGCTGTGAGTCAGTACCACAGACTCTCATTCCATAGGATGCCCTGTAGTTCTCTTATGGTGAAAAGCTGTGAATAACTGCTGCCAACTCTTTTTTAACACCCTTTTTCGTTTGACCTCTGTCATCCTGTTTTAAAATATATTTCTGAACTGACTGTCATGCTTTTTTTTTTTTGTGTCACCAGCAAAAAACTTTGTAACTGCGCAAGCAGATGGTCTGTGTCATCTCTTGTGCTGGGTGATAGCAGGGTGAGAACCCATTGGGTTCCTGAGCTGTTCAGTGGGATAAAACATACATTGCTGGCTTTAACATTGATTTTGGATCTCAGCCAGGCTGTTTCTCCAGTGTGTATTACAAAGTTTGCAATTTGTGATCAAGGAGAACAGAGCATCTGAGAAAGGATCCAAGCCCTTGTTTCATTCTTCAGTGCCCTTGCTGCTCCTGCTGCAGGAGGCCGTGGAGCACCCAGGATTACAGCTGAGTGACCAGAATGGGACATGTGCCCATGTTCTCTTACACCCCTCTGTTCAGCTGAATCAGCTGGGTGACACCTGAATGCCCAAGCTTTTTCCTTCCCAATTTCTGCAAGGACAGTGACTGCCTTAGTGGAGGAACAGCTGTTGATTCCTTGGTTTTCCCAGAGAAGGTGGGGTTGGCTGTGGTCTTCAGGTGGGTGACAATACCACCAACCTCAGAAGGAATGGCCTGATACAGCCTTGGCAAATTTAGCTCCATCCCCAGGATCAGTCTTTGTGTTCTTTCCCATTTCTTTGTAACTCCATGCTGAGGACTCTGTGTAGAAGCACTGCTCTGTTTTGAGCCAAGGTATTCTGTAGACCCAACTTCCTATTGTAATCAAGCCAGCATTTCTTGGAAGGAGAAACATCACCTTTGAAGGTACCATATGCTTGCTAGAATGAATGTTTCATGAATAATACCCAGCAAAATTAGGTTTGTATAAATATTTTGTCAGCAGTTCTGCATCTGACAACCTTTTTTCTGCAGAAGTTATCCTAAGCATGAGTTTTTTTCACTGTGAAGAATGTATTCCGTGGATGTAGCCACCCTTTTGTTTAATAAATCCTCATGAATTGACTGTGAATCATTAATGTGTGCCTGTAACTGAGCACTGACTGGCAGTGATAATGATTTTTCAGCTTATAATGGCTTGGTCATGTTTTTGTTTTGTTTTTCCTGTCTATTGTCGCTGTAACATAGTTGAACACCTTTATTAGTTAGCCTTGCCTTTGCATCCTGACTCATTATCTGGAATTTAAAGGAAATAAGGACTGGGGTATTTTCCTATCTGTAATGTTGAGGTAAAAGCAAGCAAAGAAACAAAGCCCCCTTGCTTTGTTCTGGAATTTACTAAACATTCCTAACTTGTGAATTAATCCAAGAGTTTATTTCAGTGTTTAAAACTAACTGTAATCCTAAGAACCAGCAAACAAAACCCATGCAAATTTAGTGCAAGGTTTTCCTGGACTTTGTTCTTCTTACCATTAGCCCACTTTTACTGCTTAACCAAATCCTACCATTTTCCTTTTAGGATTCATCTTTTTATACCATTCCTTCAGGTGTGTTACTGATGTAGAGGAGATGTGCTGGGGGAAAAAAAAAAAGAGCATTCTAACTAACAAAATTCTGTCATTTACAGAACTTAGGGGTAAAGCTGTGATCAACAAAGTGATGTGACATTCATTGGACCATGTGTGCAACATTATTTATTTTTTAAAAGCCAAGCAGAGCTTCCTAACAGCCTCTGTCTTGCTGTTGACAGTGGGGGCTGTAAGATGACTCTTTGTGTGGGCCCAGCTGGCAGAAAAAATTCTTGAGGAACTCAGAGTTCCAGTAATGGGATGGGAAGGGAAGGACAAGGCACATCAGGATTTCCTTGAACTGCAAAAGTGAGGGTTAAAGAAAGACTGAGCTGCACTGTCCAACCTGGAAAGCAGGAACTGACATACAGCAATTCACCTGGTGATAAGGCCCTGGCATCTTTACATGAATAACAGAGCTTTAATAAAGGGATTTTAATCAGAATTCAGGAAAGATTTTTCTGCTTTTGGAGTTTATTACAGAGAAATCTGCCTAATCTGTTGACAGAGCTCCAAAACACACAGGTCAGTGCTGTGGTGTGTTAGCAGTGAAACATTTGCCAAAACCTATTGAAATTCTCTGTGTACTTCAAGCATTGGCATTCTGAGGAGAAGCTGGTGCCACCTATCATCAAAAAGGAGGAAATTAAACACCAAAGTGATGTGTTTAAACTGGAGAAACTGCTATTTTCATTGCAAAGCTGATTGTTTTATATTAAATAGGCAATTAGCAAGATGTTGGGGCTACTCAGAATGATTCTGGGTGAGGTGCTGACCTGGCCACTCTCACCCTGCAGAGGAGATCAAGGATAAGCAGATCCTGGATGCTCTGGTCTTGCTGACCAAAGGGAAAGTTATAAGATTACAATTTGCTTTAAGGGTGCAAATTCAAGTCCAGCAGATCAGTTGACGTCCAACTCACCCCAATTAAGTAGTTAAATATTTTTCTGAATCTGAACCTAAATAACTTTTGCTCCACTTTTTCTCTTTTTAGAGGGTACAATCATTTTGAGTCATTCTTGATAGCAGAGTGTGGGTTTATTAAAGTGGCACAGGTATTTTGAAAATGTTTTTCCTTTTTCTTTGGAAAGGTACATTTGGAATGATAACCCTGTTGGAGGTTTTGTTTAAAATACTCAGAATACATCCTAGCATGTCCAAGCCATGTTTTTTCCTCACAGTCTCAGGCTATCATAATACTGAGGCCCAGGATACTGCATTGTGCCTTCTTTTGCTGAAAAGAAAGGAATTTCAAAGCTTCAGTGGGCTCCTGAGGAGCAGTGAGGGATTTGTGTTGTGTTCAGCTTTATTGGAAAAAAAGTCATGACACTTTTCATCTCTTAGGGGTCTGCTTCATGTTTTGATCCTGGAGCCAAATCATCTTTCTTAAGTCTGAATCAGAGACCCTTTATGCCAGCCACCAGGCCAGGGTGACACAAGGCTTTTCTCCCTCCTTATAACTCTATGTAACTATTAAACCTATTCAAGACCTTACAATTCTAGTGGTTTTTGAAGCACATTTTTAAGTTCTTTGCCTGAGCACAAGTCAAAGTAGACCTTTAGGTTGTCTTTCTTTCATTTCCTTTGAAATGCACTGATAAATGCATGGGTGATAAATTTAGTCTGAGGCAAATGCACACAGCATCATGTCTCACAGAACTGTTCTTTGATACATCCTCTGAAGATTGAGATTAAGTAGAAAAATGCTGGCTGCTTAGAAAAATGAGGCTCCTAATCAGTTAATTTGTGCCAGGCCTGAGGACTTCATAAAAACCTGTGGGTTTAATGTGCCATATATACATATCATCTATATATTAATACTCTATAAACACTCTAAAATAAATAACACTCTAAAAACTACTTCTCCTCCTCTTGTTAATGTGCTGATAGATTCTGATTCAAGATAAGGTTCTGACTTGGTGTGTAAATATCAGTGTGACATATATCACAGAGTTCTTATGGCACACAGAGGCCAAACAGTAGAAGAGCATCAACAGCATCATAATAGTGGAAAAGGACATGACAGGTAAAAGCTATTTAAAATGTGTTTTTACAGTCTACACCTCCACCATCCCTCCCTCCCTCCATTCCCCAAGGTGAATCTCTTGCTGCCAGAACTAAGTTTTGTTCTAGTGATGTTTTGTTGTACCTTATCACATAAAACAAATGTTTTTCCAAAAGCTTTCTTGCATGAAGGCAATGAAGTAAATCTAATCTCTGACGTTCAAATCAGGCTTACAGAAGGGCAAAGAGGGCTCACTTTGGCTTGGATGACATTTATGGCCAGCAAGCAGCTCATGGACAGGAAAGGCAGCATGCTGTTCTCTGTAGGGTGTACAATGTGAAACAATTTTATCAGAAATGCTAGATAAAAATCTTAATAAGCTGGAGTTAAACAACTGGGCTTAACAACTGGGTAGTTTTATCTTGGAGGCAAAAAAAACCCCAAAAACCAAACCCTACTACATTTAAAATTTGCCATATGCACAGTAACTTGCAGTTAGTAATTAAATTCTCACAACATCCTTCCACAGTGCCAGGCAGAGCATATTGGCTTAGGTTGGCCTGGTTGTCGAGCGTGAACTGAAATGATTTCTAACAGCAATCAAATACATTTTGAAATATGCTCATAAAAATGCTAGCTCAGAGGCTCAAAGCAATAATGATTCATGTATTAGCAAATGAACCTGTCCTCTGCAAGCTAGCCCCTGAAATGTAATAAGGGGTCAGTCCAAGGAAAAGGAAAAAAGTGTGTTTATGAAGATGTTGAGAGGTAATATTTTGGAATGGGAGTTTGGGGTGACATCTCTTCAACATCTATTGATTGAGGTATTGGACTGGCCTCCAGAAGCCAGTCTTTGTCAAGGATGCCTTTATCGAATCTATATCCACAGAGAGATTTAGGTAATGTGCTTGCCAGAATCCCTCTGTCCCTTGGGAAGATCTTTGCTTCCCATATGAGCAAGACTGGGACTCAGAGAAGGTGAGAACAGCTGTCCTGCATCTCCTGTGCTGTGAAGATGCTCAGGAAAGGCCTATGTGTGAAACCTGGGAGATCTCAGATAAATAACAACTACCTTCCACTACCTCTTCTGGGCGTGTCCAAATACACTCTGAAGGGATTGTGAATTTGAAAAAAAATTAGTAATAATCTCCCCTGGAGCCTAATGGCATGACCAGTAGCTGCATCCTGCCTAATCTTCCTTGTTTTGAGCATGAAACAGGGGTCAGAGTCGCTCTCCCTTTGAATGTTCATCACCTGGCACTCAGAAGGGCTCACAGGGCTGGAATTCTGACTTGGTGAGCCACAGAAAATTGGGAGTCCAGGCAGCCCCTGGGCTGGGCTCTGCCATCATTTATTCCTGCACTCTCAGGCACAGCATCATCAGTAAGAAAATGGGAACAGGAGAGGAGCTGCAGCATGGAGAAATAATCAGTAAGGACTCAGGTATTTTATGAGAGCAGAACAGCCTTAAATAAATATCTGCACAGAACCCCACTCATGTACCTGAGATGCTGGTTTGTTTTATCCCACTGGTTTTAATTTGTTGCCTGA